AATACTAAAGTTGACAACCTGATCAGGCTACAGCAGGCAAGAGTCAGAAGCAACACCATGATAAAGAATCCTATCTAAACCATGTACAGGAACACTGGACGGAAGGAGAGACAGTATGCATGTATAGCATGGTGTCAGACTAACACAAACAAATCTTTTACAGAAAGGCAGGGCAGCACAGCACCAAGAAGAACCTAAAACCCACTTCCATCCCACAAGTCAATACGTGCTTGTTGAATTCAGGAAGTGGGTTTTGCTGTTTCAAGTACACTTAATACCTGTTTGTTGCTGCCCTACAGAACATCACTGCATTCCCTCAGCCAAACAGTCAATTGTTTGTGTTGGAGTGAGATGTTAACAGTCAACTTGTGTCTATCAGTCAGAACCTACTGTGGTCTGTTGAAAGATATGGGAAAGCACCAGCAAGGAGCTGCATGGCAAGACACAAAGCTAGCAGGTGTTTTATAGACTGTGGCAGGCTCAACAAGTTAAGCTTTTCCTTGCCACAACATGTAGTAGCAGAAGGCCACCAGCTACAGCCACCACTTAAAAAAACCAAAATGGAGATCATCCAACTTCCTCTATATTTTGGTACTAACAATGCAACACTTCCCACAGAATAGTTCCCAGAGAGGATCAGAGCCAGGAAAGAATCAGTGTGGTGCCAGGAGAAGAGCACAACAGGACAAAAATCAGTGGCAGCAAGTGACGGGTTGCTGCCTAGATGCATTCTTGGGTCAGTTTTGTTCGTGTGCTTTTAAACAGCATCCTTTCCCCTAAACTCAGGAGTTTAAGTTAACTCCTGCCCACCTCCAAAGGTTACCTAGGGGGTGGGGTGCCCCTGGAGACAGGCAGTGACAAGGCTGGAGTGCCACCTTCCGGCAAGTCACAGGCAGAGCTGCTTCACCTCCCTGCAGCTGGGCAGGAACAGCAACGAGGAACAGCATCCGCCTGCTGCTCCAGAGCCCCCACACCAGCCCCGCTGCTGCTTCTCCTTCCCGTGGCCCCACGTGCGTTCATGGGCCACAGAGAAGAAGCAAGAGAAATGACACGCGAGAGTATGAACAGCTTTTGGCAGGTTGGTCCTGGAGGGGACATGGACATAGCTGCTCCTGAAATCAGACACTTCCCCAGATCCCTCAGCAATGTGCCCTTGGTCAACAGCTGAGCAGCCTCCAAAGCCCAGCGCAACACTCACCTGCTGATCAACTCAAAACCACTCTAGAGGTCCAGCAGGACAAAGACTGTTTTTTAAATGCTCCATCCATCTCCCAGCGCCAGCCACCTACATTCTGGCTGCTCTCAGTGGGATGGTACCCAAGCATCTAACAGGCCTACAAAGGCATCCTGCAGTAGTAAGTTTCAGAGCTGAACTGGACATGCTACAGAACATTTCCTTCAATTTTAAGCCAGTCACACCTCCTACAAGGCCACTCAGTTTTCAAAATCTGTTTACAGCCAATGCCTCTCTCTCAAGACAGTCCCAGTGCACTCAAGCTTTCCTCCTGCAGAAGCCAGCCATGCTCAAACTTTCCATATCTTTCTACCATTTTCTATTTCAATTTAGCCTGTGCAGTTTAGAACATAGACACATTCAGTTGAGTACAATTTCTTCTTCTGACCACCTGGTGAGTCACTTGCCCTGAGCTGCCTACCAGGAGCAGTCTTTACCATTTCCTGCTCAAGTTTCATTAGCTACCCTAAAAGAAAGGAGTGGGAAATAGTCATGTTCAAAAGGCAAAGACAAATCACCCCATTATGCCTATTCTGTGTTCACAGCCAGAGCAGAAGATCAAATGGCATAGGCTTGTTTCAGTGTCACCCAGGTAGGCAGATGACACAGTACCTCTCTGTGCACAGGCACAACACCCCCAGCACTGCCAGCATCCTTGGGCTGAACATGTCTGTGATGCTGCTAGCACACAAGCCTGGGCTAGGTGAAGTACTGGCACAAGTACACGCTGCCAGGCTCCCAGCTGAGCTGTTCTCTTATCACTCAAGCTATTTGGGATGTGCATAGGAAGCTTCACATTTCCCATGACAGGGATCTGCAGACAGGATCTCTGAAACTTCTGCCCCCTGCCCTGAACCAAGAGCTGCTACAACCTATGGGACAGTTTCAGGGAACAAAACACAGTCTGAAAGGCAGCCCAAGAAGTCATACCTAGTCTACCCTCTTTTCTACTAGCCCTGTCCTTAAATATTAGTATTATCAACAGAATATAGTAAAAACTGCCGGGCAAAGGCAGCACTCTCTCCAAGCTCCTGTGTCTCAGTGCCGTTCTTCTATTTTAACTTGTCTGTAAGTGTCATTAGAAGTTATTAGAGCTCATAACATGCTGACAGTTACTCCCACCTTGGACCAGCTGAAGCTGCTAACACCTTCTCTATTTCAGTAATACTACACTGGTGTGATGAGTGCAGACTCAGGGGAGAATGCTTTATCAATGGTGCAGCAGAACCACAACAAAACACAACTGAGCACTTGGACTCCTTGCACAAAAGGCTCTGCAAGAGTGGAGATGTTTCATGTAGGAAAGCAGTTTTACTCCTGCTTCACCTTTTGCCTTCCTCCAGGCAGCACTGCAGACAGTGGTATTAAAGCAAATCTTGTTGGTAAAAAGCAAGAGATGAGAGTGGAGGCAACTCAAAGAAGAAACATCCTGTGCTGAATGGGACTCAAGAAGAGATTATGCAGTAGGCAAGAGATAGAGATACCTGCAAAGAATTGTGATTTACTGTAGAGAACTCATCAAAATCAGAGGCACAAAAACAGAACACAATGAAAGTTAAATCAAGCTGAGGGTAAAACACCGGTTTTACAATTAAGTCATTCCAACAGCTGGAATGATAGCCATCAGGCTATTGGATCACAGGAGATGTTCAAGGTCTTCTACACAGCTCAAGCTGGATATAGACACTGGATAAAGGTCAACAGGACTAGTGTAACAAGAAACTGGACTTCCACAGCCATTCAGAGCCTTCCTACCAAGTCATGCAGCATGTAATCAGACTAGGCATGGTCCGAGGCCCTTCAGTTCATCTTTTACAGACACCAGTTTTCAAAGTGAGACTGTTTGGGAACAGCGAAGTTTTAAGGTCTGCAAGATACTCATCTATCCTGCCCAAACTATTGCCTTTAAACAGATATGGCAGAAGCTAGAAGAGACCACTAGTGATTACTATGACAATTCCATAGAAGCATCCACAGAAACATAGAAACATTCCATAGAAACATTTCTATACATGTGTGAAGTAGCAAAGGAAAAGCATGCATGGAGGACAAGCTACCTAATACCGCCAGGCTCAAACAGTCTTTACAGTAAATTCAAGATGGGCAAAGAGGTGTTTTGAAAGTTCAGCTTGAAACTTCAGTTTGAGAGATTAGAAGAGGTTGTTCCAATCAACTTAAGATGAGTTAGGAACCACTTCATCCATTGTAAGCGCTGCTGCAAAATGAGGGCTTAGTCATGTCCTGCTGACGACTTGCCATATCTTACTCCGTATTTGGAGCCAAATATGAAAACTCAATGAGTTTTAGAGACAAGCATATAAGAAAAAGCTATTTCTTAGAAAATAGGAAAGGCTTAGAAGACAGGCAGCTTTAGCAGAGTGACAAAGAAAATAACACCTAAGAGCCACTGGGTTAGAAAATGAGACAGTGATACTGTCCAGACATAGAAAGGACAGAACAGGAAGGAATGTGGCAGACAGACAGATCTTTAATCAATATTTGCATGTGTAGGAGACACTCCAGATAGGCCAAAACTTAAAATCTTTGAACTGACCATAAAGGCCTGCTACATCAGCCTTCATCCTTCAAAAATCTCTAGGTGGCTAGCAAGATAGCTCACACAACTGTCAGAAATGCAAAATTAAATACCATGTGCAGTGTCTGTGATGAGCCCAAGCTCACTGGATCAAATAAATGAGTGCTGATGTATGAAACTAGCCTACTCAAGAACAGAGTACTATTTTCTCCTCAGAAATCCAAGTTAAATACATATTCTACTGAACCTGAAATTCACTTTTGCCCATAAGATATCTCCTCACTGCTCAGAGGAGGCCACTGGCTAGGCAGTTTGCTGGGCAAAATAGATCTTACAGGAGTGTAGTCTAAAGAAAGGAAAAAAGGCAATTTTACTTCCATGTTTCAGTTGCAAACTAGAACAACTGGTATCTCATTGAGACTAGCAATTTCACTTTATTACCAATTAAAACAAAAGCAACACACAGAAGCAGAGGGCTCTGCAAAACTGCTAGGAGAAGACACTTGTGAGGAAACTGTGCTATTTCAAGCTTTTCACATCAGCTGAACCTGCTGTGGAAGTGCACACACCCTATGTCTTTTCATGCACCAAGAAAGATATGGTGAGGCTGCTGCAGCCCTTCTTTCCCTGTTGCATGTTCTAGGCCCTCTCTTTCCTTACTGGAAATCCGCTATTTGGTGGATTCCATGGAGTTGGCCGAGAAAAAAATAAATTAATGATTAACCCCAAAACAGCAAGGTGGTTCAATTTTTGGCCTGGTCAACTCCATAAACCAGTTTGTGACAGGATCAGAGGAAGGCCTCCAGCCCCCAGAGTGAAATATCAGAATCACAGCAGCCTCGACAAAGGCTGATGGACCTCAGTGGGTCAGAACGAGCAGGCAACTGCTGTTGTACACATGCACTGCAGCAGGATCACATTTAAAAACAAAAACACTGAACACAAGGGAAAAAGGTAAATGACAGCTCCAATAGAGATTAAACCAATATTGCAGTGAAGGCAGCTGAGCAGCTGTGCCAGTGAGGCACGCACACCAGAGAAGCAAAAGCCTTTAATACCATAGTGATACTGTGTTGCTGCTTTGAGACCTCCAGATACAACCAGTTTTGTTCAAGAAGCTGCAGAACACATAGGAGCTACAGGGTTTAGAGTGGAAAGCTAGTCTGAGAGCCCTCAAGTGTGGAAGAACACCAGTGTTTCAAATGCTGTTCATGAACAGTCAGTACTCACGTGATGAAGTCCAGAAAACTTGCTAGAGGCTCATAGGCATGGTTCCTCATGTGACGGAACTCCACCACCATCTTCTCTTTCAGCTTGTCGTCTATGACAGAGACAGTGAGTGGGGAGGCTTCGTTGGCAAGGAAGTTCCCATAGTCTGTGCTCTGGAGGTGCAGTTTCAAGTCTGAAAAAGAAAGAATAATTACACTCTACAGGGTTTGTGGTGGGTTTGGGCTGGTTTTTCTTTTGAGCGCACCCAAGAAAGCTGTTGCTCAGCCCTTCTCTAGGCATTCTCTTCTCTGAAATATCTCCTAGAAAAAACACACGGAAAAAAACACCTAGAAAAAGCACATGTTAAATCATATGTTTTTATCTGTGCTCAGTTCTATCACGGCCAATTCAAATATAGAAGGAGATCAGTGTTTCACCATACCAGCTTTGTCCCATCTCAAAGAGGAAACTGTGCCACTGTGTAACTGAGCATGCAGCCGCCCACTGTGCTTGATCAAGATGGGAGGTTCTAGGAAATACTTCCTAGAAAATAATTTAAAACAACAACAACTTAAGCACTTTCTCTAGCCCAAAGAGCTCTGGTTGCAGGCTTCTCTGAAGCAATCACAACCAAGAACCTATCTGTATCCACAAGCAAGTTCCCTCAGATATTAGTGATGTGGTGGCATTGGAAAAGCTTTCAAAGCCAAAAACAGCAACCTTGAAAATTATGACACAGGCAGACCTATTGGAGCAAGTCCAGAGGAGGGCCATGGAAGATGCTGTGAGGGCTGAAGCACCTTTGCTCTGGAGACAGGCTGAGAGAGCTCGGCTTGTTCAGCCTGGCGAAAAGAAGGTTCCCAGCCAATTCCCCCTAGTTTCTATATTGGGCATGACGTGCTTTGGTATGGATTATCCCTTTGGATAGTTCAGGTTAACTCTGCTCCCTCTGGCTTCTTGTGCCCCTCCTCACTGGCAAAGCATGAAAGACTGAAAAGTCCTTGATTTAGAATAAGCACTACTTCGCAACAACTAGAACACTGGTGTGTTATTCTCATCCTAAATCCAAAACACAGCACTGCACCAGCTACCAGAAGAAAATTAACTCTATCCCAGCCAAACAAGGAACATGCTTAGAAGCCTTCCCCTCCAACAGTTTGGAGTAGAGTGAACCTTTGTTTCCTCCCTTACCCTTGCTGCAGGTCAGGTGCCCAACCAAGCTGCAGTTCTCGCCAACAAGCAACCACAACATGCTGAGCTCTGTCAAGATAAAAGCCCTATTTGAGCCAAAACCATTTAAGTGTCTCCGTGGAAAAACTGAATCCAGAACCGAGGAACGTCATACAATCCTACAAAGCTCTGCTAGTTGCACTGGTACATAATGTTCATCTTCCTTCAACTTCACCTCGGAGGGCCAGTTAGACAAGCACCCTCCAAGGGATTCAAGACCTTTATGGGGAAAGGAGAGTAGCTGGAAGAGTTTAGTCAAACCAGATGTGAACACACAGTCCAGAGAAAACAAGAAGAAAAAAAAATAGAAAAAACACCAAACAACCAAAACCAAAAACTGTCTTTCCCTGGTTTCTCTGAAACAGCAGCACTGAGGCTGCCTTCTCCCTCTACTGAATCATTGAGTCCTCAGCATTATAGCACAAGCAACCACAGTACCGAGGTCAAAGCAAGGACTCAGACTAGCTTGAGAAGTTTGATCTTCTGACATTACACCCAGCTACAGAGCTGGAGAGCATCCTCCACACTGGGCTCCAAACTGAGCTTGGACTGCACAGTGAGATACTGTCCTCAGCCCAAGGAGTCAAACAGCTTTCAAGCTGACTTTAACTCTTCTGGTTATTTCCAAGGGGGTCTAGTAAAGATGTTGTTGGCCCAGCACTTTTTAGTCATGAAGACATTACCACTGCTAAGCCTCATAGGAAACACCATGGTTACAGAGAGAGGAAAAGGCCAGAGACTTAGAAACATGACAGAAACCAAGCATTATTTCCATGGTTTACAGGAGAGTTTGGTGGTACTCTGAGTAAGGAAGCCTGGATGCAGTAAAGAGTTACTTGCCCAACACCACACATCACAGCTGAAGCAAAGCAGAAACTTAAAAGTAGATCTCTGCTCCCCAGACTATGCTGCAACTAAACAGCTGTGTTTTGTTCTACAAAAATCTTGCCAACTTATGCTCACACTTCTGAGGTGGGAAAACATTGTCTGGATAACTCAGACAATGGAGTTTTAAACATGAACCTTGCCACAAAATCAAACACTCAATGAGTTTCAATCCCTCTTCTGAAAGCTCTTGGATGATAAGCTTTGGAGTCGAAGCGGAAATTAAGCTCCACTGTCAGATTGGGGCTTGTTTGCTTTTAGAGGAGGCTGGAGAAAGCATGGAACAACATTCAGCAGTTGCTCAATGAATATGAGAGAAAGGATCATGGTAAGAGTATTGCACCCATAAAATCAGATTGCAAGGGAAGGCCCAGGGGACTGTAGCTACATTCACATACCTCCTTGCAGTTCTCTGCCATTACTGAGAGCTCAAATGAAAACTAAGCCTGCCCAGAAAGGCATGTGATGCCATTTTTCAGCTATACAGGACCTTGGAGAGGAAGCAGCTATTGCATATCCTACCACCTCCTACTTTAGAGGGAAGCTTCCAAAGTTTACAGCCATTTCCTCAACTCCAATTCTACAAGCCCAAAACATCTGTTCCTTTTGGTGTCATCACAACCTACATCTCTGCTCTTCCTTTTGAGGCTGCAAGTGACACAAAAGGTAGAGTTTGCCATACCATCCACTTCCAGGAAGTCAGAGCTGCACCTCATGGAGACCAGTCACACAAGCTGCACGCTGTGCCTTGCAGCTTGCATCTTCTCCCTCAAGAGCTCTGAGCAAGCTCCCAGAGCATTTTGTCCTGCTTGATGAGAGGGTTGCCCCGCCAGCTCCACAGCACAAGAGTCAGCACAACATTATGTTGCAACTGGAATAAGGGCCATGTTTATATAACACTTGGAAGGCAAGCCACAAACTAAAGTCTTCTGAATCTATTAGTATCCAAGCAGACAGAACAGATCAGATTTTCCAAAAATTTGACCGGATTTATAAACCCTGACTCAAGGCATCCCATGGTGTACCAGTGACTTAACTGAGCCTGTCCTCCTCAAGCCCATTACTGAGCCCCAGCCAAGAGGGTTTGGGAGGTTTTAATAGGTCTATTCACATGTCAGGCTTCACAGTTAAGAACAAACTAATCCCACAGTTTCACAAATCCCCTGCCAGAAGAGCTGTCGCAGTAGCACAGTGACTAATAAGTAGACCCACTGCTGAGCAGGCCCCAAGCTCTCCAGAAGCTCAAGTTCCTATTTCCTAACACAAGTTTAGACTGAGCTGGAGCTTGCCTCTGACAGCAACTGGAACATCTCAGCCCAGGCAGCTGCCAGGGATCCCACACGATGCATGTTGACAAGATGCTGGGTGCAAGGCTTTTGCCTGCTGAGGAGGAGAAAGACCTACACCAAAAGCCCAGGCACTGCTGATGGGCTCCTCCAGATGCTGAGTAGCAGCAGCACAGAGCCTCAATGCAGCAACTGCTTCCGAGAGGTATGTTTGCCTGTTTCGGCATTTTTCCAAGTGGTTCACACACTTAAGAAACAGACTGGAGGCAGCATTTGGCATGAGAGTGTCTGAATTACCACAACACTTTTGTTCTCTCTCCTCCCTCGCAAAAGCTAGTAAATTATGGCCAGGTCACAGTTCCCAGAAAGCTGCCTTATGCAAGAACACAACAGCTTGTCAGAACAACAGCCTATTTCTGCTGAGTATTCAAGTAGGCAAGTACTCGAAATTACCATGACATGTACTTACAGCCATCTCCTTTCAACTATCTGACCAGGCCCTCTGGTTTTGACGCAGTGGGCTGTATGTGAGGCACAAGCATAACTGAAGCTTAATTCAACCACACCTTGACGTTTCAGATGACATTTTCATGAGAGACTTCAGATCTGCAGTAATACTATTATTCTCTCCTGCAGGTCTGCTGTGTCATAACAAGGAATCAAGCCATTATTCAGTCTTTCAGACATCTGTCAGTCAAAGCCTATCCTCTAAGTCCTACTCACAGTGACCCAAGGCCCCAGCAGCTCAAACTTCCACCTTTCCTTCCTCATCATCCTCCCCTAACTGCATTGCAGAGCTCTGAATCAAGTTAAGGGCTTGAGCACTTCCAGGCAAGGACCAATTTGCCTTCTTGCACACAGGCATGGAATCAGCTTGGAAGGTACAAAAGCTTAACTGATGTTTTCACGCAATTATCTGCTGTGACCCTGACATCTCACTCCAAAGCACCTGGGGCCATAGCTGCATATATTAAAACTGCAATCTTGTTTGCCATTTCCCAGGCTGGAGGCAGTGAAGCATCTGAGGGACCACAAAGCAGTCTGCAGTTCAGCTCCACTGCCCACATCTCCCTTCAGAAGACTGCAGCCATTATTATTTGGCTTATTGCTTTCCATTAGATCTATTTAAAGCCACCTCAGACACTCCTGAAGCTCATTCTCTGAAATCTCACCCAAGCAGCACCCAGAGACCCTTCATTCCTCAGAGAATTTAAGACCTTTTCTGTGGTTGCACACCACAGTAGAGACGTATCAGTTTTCCTCTGTTGTCAGGCAGCAATTCCTCTAGGCCACAGCTAAACACGGAGAAGCATCATCTTTGCCCCTTTCCACCCACCAGCATCTTGCCTCTCATTCTTCACTTCTCTGAGAAATCCACAGCACCAAACAGCAGCCCATATTTCTAGTCCAGCCCTTCCTGGGGTTGAACTTGCCCCCATCAGAGCTTCCAACCCACACAGCCAGGTTTTCTTTCCTCAGGAGCCCCTCAACCAGGTAGCCCTCTCCTGGTGCTTCCAAAAGGTGAGGAACCCCTCCTAACCTACCTGCATCTCCAGGAAACTTCACCCCTATGTACGCTTTTTTTCTTCCCTCTAAAAACAGACTGCACAAAGTCACAGCTGTAACCTCTGAGGTTCAGTACACCAACAGGACATCAGCCCAGCACCTAGTGCAGTGGTTTAAAGGAGAGGCAGCAAATCATCCAGAAGCTCAGGGGAACAGGACAGCAATCAGTCTCACACTGCAGGAGCTGACAGCAGAAAAACAAGATGAAAGCACTGACAGGCTGCCA